ATAATCTACCTGCCTAGACTGGATTGTATAACTCAATACTTTGATAAAAAACGTCCCTTTGTGACAGGTAAACTTTAGTTCATGAAATATCATTACATTTTAAGTTTATTTTCGTAGCAACACCATTGTCGACTTAATAGTCAACTTAGTTAAATAAAAGAAATCAATATGGATATTCATTAACATTTAAAGTAAAATGAAAAATGTTTTAAAATAATTTTACTAGTGGGGATTGACATTGGCTGGTTAGAAAATAACAAAGGAACTATTGACGAATATATGTGGTCACATCATGGGAGTGTTGTAGAGGTTCATGTTGGTGGTGCAGATCAACAGTAACTTGAACAACAGGGCTCACTCCAATCCAGTAGGGAGAGGCGGTTTATTAGTCAGAGCTTGAGCGATTATGATGTCTCTAGATAGAACCCAGATTTATATATCTCGGAATATACAGCGGCATTCAGTCGTCTTATATTTCCTTATATTTCCTTATATTTCCTTATATTTCCTTATATTTCCTTACATTTCCTTATATTTCCTTATATTTCCTTAAATTTCCTTATATTTCCTTATATTTCTTTATATTTCCTTATATTTCCTTATATTTCCTTATATTTCCTTATNTTATATTTCCTTATATTTCCTTATATTTCCTTATATTTCCTTATATTTCCTTATATTTCCTTATATTTCCTTATATTTCCTTATATTTCCTTATATTTCCTTATATTTCCTTATATTTCGAATTTGTTTTAACAACTATATTCAAATAAAGTAAATTGCACGTGTTTTCAACCATAACTCCACACATTGATAATCTTTATGTTTGATATTTTTATATGTAACCAGATAAATCTGCTTTTCTCATAATTAGAATCAGAACTGTAGGAGCTAATTGAGGTCACAAAGTTGTACCAGGAATGACGAACAAATTTGACCTTCTCTTTTTGTACAGTTTTCAGTGTAACCATCATGCACATTGAACATGAGAAAATTAAGTATTTGAAACCATTTAAAAATACTTTTGACCCTCCACTTC